TTTCGTCCAGCAAGGTGTGGAGGATTGTAACCTATAATCATTTACTCTGGGTTCCTTTACAAACCTCCCGCGCTTGTGACCGACCCTTCCCACAGTTTAAACAAATAAGAGGGAATACCCTACATACTCAATAGGTGGAAAATAAGAACCTGACCTCCAGCCCATAAATTAGCCAACACACCTAGGATTTCTTCGGATTAAATCCAAGCCGGACGAAATCACCGAATGGTGCGAGCGATAGGCCGCATTATTCCAATTCATGAATTGTCGTTCAGTCCATAAAGTTGGTCCTCCTATGCCAGTTTTTGCAAGGCGCTGCTCTTCACTGCTAGTCCAGATTTTTTGAGCATCGTCCAGAATAGGCCAACGGATACTTTGGTGATAGCCGTATATTCCAAACCGGGAAGAGCGTGAAACTTCTCTTGGCGGGGAATTCGACATTGATTCCAACAGCCCCATTGCCCACTCCAATTTATTAATTGGTCAATACACCTCCTACGTGTAGTTAGCATGACGGTCTTCGAGCACTCCTATAATCATATAATACGATATAAGTAATGTTGCACATCTCGTACGCATAGAAGAGTCAGTCAGTGCAGCGCTCATCCTCAGCTAAGCTGTCTGTGCGTCGCGAGCTGCTTTAGCTGACGTTCTAACTCCTGCGTAGACTCATCGTATTCGTATCATTAGTTCTCTAAGTTCCTAGCTTCCCAATCGGCCGTAGCTATACCAATCTATACATATCTCAACCACGACAGCTTGCACTCGATAACTCAGATCCCAACTTGACTTACTGTGCGTTCACTTAGAAGCACGTGTGTGCGTGGCGAACCGATATAACGGGTGAACCGTTTAGTCATCTCCGTCGTGAGTGCGAAGTGAGTTCAGCCTTGACATGCTGCTCCTCTCTTTCTCTTGGAGGTCACTTGTGTACCACCCTAGAAAGGGGTACCCTATCGGCCCAAGAGACAAAGTCCCCACCAGAGCTCTTTCAAGAGCTTTTTTGTATGTTCCCTTCTAGCCTTTGTCCAGGTTCAACGAGACCATCCCATTCGCCGCCCACCACAGTTGACGTAGGGTATTCCACCTCCAATTTGATGAAGCAAACGGCTCTAGCTTCTTTCAAGCATTTCTGAGTCAGGGTCTTGCCCCAAGACCCCGACACCTAACAGAAGCAACTCCCTTCTTTGCCCGCGGTCCTGTCCCGCGCCCAATATTCCAATCAGTGTTGGCATTCCATCAACCACCTGAAGGGCACCTGATTTTGTCCCAGAAG